GTCATGTTGGCTTGAAGCTGGGGAAAAGCAGTTTATTGGACCCGAGATAGTTCATCAGACTGCTGAAAAGCTGAAAGTGATTAGGGAAAGGATGTTAGCATCTCAGGATTGTCAAAAGAGCTATCCTGACAAGAAAAGACAACTGATAACATTCAAAGTTGGAGATTCGGTTTTACTTAAAGTCTCGCCGTGGAAGGGACTTATAAGATTTGGGAAAAGGGGAAAATTGAGTCCAAGGTTTATTGGGCCGTTTAAAGTTCTTCAGAGGATTGGGAACCGAGCATACAAGCTAGAACTACCAGAAGAACTAGATGGTATTCATAACACTTTCCCTGTGTGTTATTTGAGGAAGTTCACGGGAGAAGTTCCCGACATAATTCCAATTTCTGAATTAAGGTTGAATGAAAACAAGAGGTTAATAGAAGAACAAGAGGCAATCGTTGACCGTAAGACTAAGAAGTTGCGACGCAAGATGGTCGATTTAGTGCTTGTGCGATGGAAACATACGAATGCGCCATATCTCACCTGGGAAACGGAGAGTGACATGATGATTCGTTATCCGCATTTGTTTGCTGATGTGTGATTCCGGGGGGCGGAATCATCCTAAGGGGGAGAGAATTGTAACGCCCGTGTTTCTAGGCTAGGCATTAATGATGATGTAATTGTCTAGGCCAACATTTGTAATTTGTTTTGAAATAATAAGATGTATTATTTGATTATTATGTGTTTTATAATTAATTATTATGATTTAAAAAGTTAAGGATAAAAATAAGCGTCGAAAATAAATGTTAGATAAACCCGATATCTATGAAGAAAGTTCTAGTGATTGAAACAAAGATTCTGAAGATATAAAGAATACAGAAATCCGAATTATAACGAAGAAGTTATGACCTGTCGAAGTTTCGCGATAGATTCAGCACGACGTTGTGTGACGTAAAAAGTGAATTTGCGATAAAGTGCTTTTTAGCCTTAGCAATCTAAATGAAAGTCGTAGTGTTCGTTAAACCGAGAGCGTACATAAAAAGAATGCTCAAATCTGACTTCGTATGAGGAAGTTATGATTTTTCTAAATTTCGGCTTAGCAGTATGCAGCCCGAAACTCGAATTTTAGATCGAGTGATTTTTAGCCGAAACAACCTAAACGAAAATCGAATATCTTGTTGATAGTAGTTCAACGGTAAAAAGACAGACGAAAACGGACGTCGGATGAAGAAGTTATGAATTTTTAACGAACTTTTGCTGTCCCGACATATTAAAAATATAACTTTAAGAATAAAGTCAAAACGAGTCGACGAAGTCTAAACAAAAGTTGCAAAAGTTACGAATTTTTGAAGTTTGGAAATTCGGAGTACGCCCAACGTACTCGTGTAAGTGTTCCGGAATCCGTCACCTCCCCTACTCCTTCGCATGAGAGACACGTGTCATAGCCTTGATGCGTCCGATATGATCCCTTCGTATGCCCAACGTACTCGTTGAAGAAGTAGTACGCCCCGCGTACTGTAAAGTTACGCCCAACGTAAATCGAGTGTTCAGCCACTATAAATAGTGATCGAGGCCAACCGTATTTATGTTATAAACTTTCACTCCTCTCACCCTCTAGTAACCTTTTTGTTACAATAAATACCCCAAGCCTATTATATCATCCTAGCATCATAAGCAAGTCCCAGAAAGCCCGAAGATCCCGAGAAAAAGAATTTTCGAGCCGAAACTCTGCCCGCGTGAAGCCCGGTTTTTGGGAAAACATCCCGGTTTTATCGGAAACGATCGTTTTAAGAAACGAAGTGTTGCCCGATTATCGTTAAATCAAGTGAGTGTGTAGTCACTTTCATCTTACACATAAATATGAAGTATTTTCTATAAAATACGTGTTATGTATAATTATATTGTTTGTTTATTTGAGATGAGTGTTGAAGAGATGTTTTATACAAGTTTTAAACTGTATATGTATTTTTATCTACAAATATATTGGGTAAAACATGGGTAGATGAAATAGTTGATGTGTGTTAAAATGATGAGAGGCCTCGATGTTGTTGTTGTTGTTTGTTGCAGTCATCTAGCAGAGTATAGATGACGACCACAGACCTTTCTAGTCAGTCCAGTGGAACGCTAGCAGGCTCGCAACCTGTAGGTGTTGGTGAACTATATGTTCGCTGGTGTACTCCATCCCCCTCATGGTTGCCTTATTTGACATAAATTGCTGAGGAATCCCTAAAACAGTGTTGTCACCTCGATAAAAATCCTTAGACTAGATCCCTTATGATAGGTGTTTAGGGACGTAAAGTGAGGATAACGAGAATGGGTAATCAGGGTTATTGTTGGTTGATGAAATTAATAAATTTATTTTTGGTTGATGAATTTAATAAATTTATTATTATTTATGGGTTGAAAACCCTATATGCTCACCAGGCTCCCAAGCATGACCCACTCACCTTTTTATATTACAGGTAGCGGACCCAAAGCATAGTTGGATGATGACGATGAATTTTTGGATTATAGGCCAGTAGATGTAAATATCTGTTGTAAGGCTTATAATGTACTGTTTATGTTTTTGGTCTGTATCGGAACATGACATCCCGAGGTTTTGATTGATATATAATGAATATATATATTTCTTTAAGAAATGTTTTGATAAATTTTTATCATGTTTTGTTTTGGGGACAAAATAAAATAATTTTCAAAAAATAGTCGTTTATAGCCGTTGGAATGAAGAAGGAAACGAGTTGCGGGGAAATTAGCTGGTGCTGCATGGACACCACACCAATGCACAATGGTTGGTGTTGGTGTCCACCGCATAGCCACGGTGCCATTGTGCCAACACAACAACTTGTAGTGTATATGGTACCCACTCTAATCAACTTAAGAGACTTTCAACTAATATGAAATAAACAACATATACAAATAAAAATAAAATGATAAAAAAAAAATAGGTTACATAAATAAACAATTTTAAAAAACTCTAATATTATAAAAATAAAGTAAAATTTTTATTTTAAGTTTTTACATTAAAAACTTCAAAATAAAAAACTCTCAATTATTATGGATCTTATTGTTAAGATACATTGATAGAATAATATATATATATAGATATATATATATATATATTATAATATATATATATATATATATATATGGATCTGTTTAGCTAAAGATATAAACAAAATCATGTATCATGTTGAGATTAGCAAAATCATTATATAAAAAAATAAAATTGTCTTATGCAAGGTTGTCAAGATCGGAATAGTCACGATGTTGGTGTTCACCGCATAACCACGGTGCCAACACAATTCATTGTAGTGTACAAGGTACCCATTCCGATCAACTTAAGAGACTTTTAGCTAATATGAAATACACAACTTATACAAATAAAAATAAAATGATAAAAATTATAATAAGTTACATAAGTAAACAATTAAAAAAAATCATCTGTTATAAAAATAAAATAAAATTTTTTATTTTAAGTTTTTACATTAAAAACTTCAAAATAAAAAAACTCTCAATTATTATGGATGTTCCTTTTAAGATAGATTGATAGACTACAAAAGAAAAAAACAATATAGTATTTTTAGAGACCTGTTTTGTCAAACATATACACAAAATCGTGTAATGAGATTAATGAAAACATTATATAAAAATGATAAGATTGTCTTATACAAGGTTGTCAATGTCGAAATCTTATATGTGGCCGTTTTTCGCTTTATAAGATCATTACCGTAAGATCTTATCAAAAACATTTTAAATCATAAAAAATACATTTTTATCAATATGTTAACAATTTAGTAAACAATAAATAGTTTAAAACATAGAAAAATACAAATCAAAAACATCATTTAACAATAAACAATTCATAAGGGGTATTATAAGTAGTTAGTCCAAGAAAAAATATTAGATTTAAAAAAAAGTATAGTAACAATCCTACGATCTTACGGTCATACTGTGATCTTATCGAAAATCGATCCTAATAAGATCGGAATTGATTTACTATGCAAAATTATAAGATCGTAAGATCTTACAATCAAGATCATGATTTTAACAACATTGGTCTTATACATATTCCCTGTTAGACTAAATGTATCCGCAAATCAATTCAATCTAATTCTTCATTTCCCCTTATCGACAACCTAACCATATGGAACTTCTATTAGGTTATTAAAAATTAAACTAAATCAAATATAATTTCTTATTCAAAAAATTAGAAAAATATTAAAATAAAAAATGTGTTAAATGTTGATTTGAAACATGATAGTCAATTCAACATGAGATTTGTTCATCACATAAAATATAGTGTATCTAATACTTAGATTATCTATGTTATGTTTAATTTTATTTTATTTGACTTCGCACACCGAAAAACCTCTATGTTGAGCAAATGAGTGATTAGAAGAGTTGATGTTTCGTTGAAATAGGAACGACGATGATTATGTCATTTATAAATTGATTGTAGTTTTTATAGAGACAAGAAACTCACATATTGGTTATGATGAAACATCAACTCTTATAAACTAAAAGATAATGTATTATAAAATATTTCAAATAGGTGTGAATAAACATTTAAATTAGAAAACACCCTTATATACAAAGAAAAAATGTTAAAAATATCATTATTTGTTGATTTAACAAAATAAATAAGTTTTAAAGACTTTTAATTATTTTGGATGCTATTGTAAAAGGCTTTATCTAGAGAAGTACAAATAATGAAACCTTAGGGACTTATTTAGAAACTTGTACAGTCCAACGTGCTTCTCCCCCTCTTAAAACCCTAACCCCCTTACAGTCTTACCATTCCCGTAACCTGTGACTGTGATACCCTAACCGATCTACAAAAATGTCGATGTCTAAAGGTTCCAAGATGCTCCAGTTCATCAATTACCGTATGCGTGTCACGATCCAAGATGGCCGCCAGCTAGTCGGCAAGTTCATGGCCTTCGACCGCCACATGAACCTTGTAATCGGAGACTGTGAAGAGTTTCGTAAGCTTCCACCGGCGAAAGGTGCGAAGAAGAATGAAGAACGCGAGGACCGCCGCACTTCTTGGCCTCGTTCTCCTGAGGGGCGAAGAGGTCATCTCCATGACCGTCGAAGGCCCTCCTCCGCCTGATGAGAATCGCGCTAAAGCCGTTGGAGCTGCAGCGTTGGCCGGCCCTGGTCTCGGCCGTGCTGCTGGCCGTGGAATCCCTACTGCTCCTTTGATTCAAGCTCAACCGGGTTTAGCTGGACCGGTTCGGGGGATTGGTGGCCCGGCTCCCGGTATGATGCAGCCGCAGATTTCTCGACCGCCGGTTCCGAATATGTCTGCTCCGCCTATGAATTACCCGCAGGCTCCGGTGATTCGACCCGGACAAATGCCATACCCTGGCCAGGGTCCTCCTCCTCAAATGCCACGTGGACCGCCTCCGCAGATGCCGCCTCAGTTTGCTCAACGGCCGCCTGGCCAGTATCCAGTGCCTCCGCCAGGGCAGTATGGACAAAGGCCTATGGCTCCACCGCCTCAGATGATGAGAGGTCCGCCACCACCAGGAGGAGCGCCACGACCCGGTATGCCTGGTCCGCCTCCTCCTGCTCGACCTGGAATGCCTCCGCCTGGTGGACAGATGCCAGGTTTTGGACCTCCTCGTCCTGGGATGCCGCCACCACCCAGCAACCAGCAACAACAACAGCAGTAGCAGCTGTGATCGGTACGTGTAGGCCTGTATTTTTTTTGCTAATGTCTTTTATGTGCTCATATTATCATATACATTGTGCACCCAATCCCAATTATGTCAACTCCCATAAAACAATAAGTTGTAAGCTACTTTCTGAATGAAGAATGTCGCTGATGGTGTTTCAGTGCTTCTGTGAACATAATAATTGAAAAAGTAGTAGCATCCTGTGCTCTTGCTGACTTCTAAGTCTTAATCTGGATTAATTAGTTGCCCCTAACTTAGGGTTGAACATGTAGAACCTAATACCAAGTTTAGACATGACCTCTTCACAGTAAGTGTTGCTAGTGGTTGGAGTTGTGTGTAATTTTTTAGCAGATGATCTGCTCTTTCCTGTCCATTATCTTTAACTCTCAAGTCAATCTCATCCCATGGTTAACAGATTCACGCCTGAACTCAACCTCAACCCTATGAATACTGTTCAATTCTTTTTGGTTGTGTTGCGACCATTAGTCAATTGATTATAGAAGCTTTGTGTTCATTATTGTTGTTAAAGTTTACTTATAGGAGGCATGAACTTACAGTCATCTGAATTTGTTTATATGAAAATTGTTTTTGCAGGGTGATTTTCCATTTTGGTTTTGGTAGCCAGGCATGTGATTCACATGTGAAGATGTTGGGAAGAGGTTTCATGCTTATAAACTGTAGCAACTGTGATGGTGATGGAGATAGCCTTGAATTTGGTAATGGTTATTGGTTTTTATGAGTAAAGTGGTTAACATTCATTGGCATTGCTAGATTTTATAACGTTATGTTTATGTTGGATTGACACATATTATTAATACGACCCTTAAATATCACTTTGCACAAGAAAGAGTTCATCATATCCATTAAATGTCATTTTGCACTTGTATTTCACAATTTTGATCTTGGAAAATTTGGTATTTGATTGAGAGTAGATTTGAAAGTTGAAGGTCTAAGATAGATGAGAAATGTGGTGTGAATATTTAGTGCAAAGTTTACACTAAATCAACTAAACTTTAAGAAAGTTTTCTATTGTGAGTGTGATTATTTTGACCTGCTATGCTATATCAGTTTATACTATAGTAGGTCAAACTGGTTGACATAAAAAAAGTTATAAAATTTGAATATAAATATGTTAAAAAGTAATTCGCCCGCAATATAAATTAATATTGTGGAGGTATAACAATTAATATTCTGCCAACAGATTTGGTTTCACACACTTTGCAGGTGAGGTGAACATCATTGCAAGATCATGTCCTTCAACTCAGATTTAGCAGTGAAAGTGGTTATGAATTTTGAACTTGAAGCTTCATGCTCTTCTACTACTTCTACTGTGTTTTTGACAATTGGATTGGTAGGTTCTGAAAATTCTCTGAAACAAAATTATCAGCAGCAACTTGTACTGTGTTAGGATCAGAAAGAAATCAACCATGAAGAAGGTAGAGTAGAGAGGTATCATTATCATATACTTATATGATTTCTCAAACTCATAGCTCAATCAATATTCACAATTGAAACTATTATACTTGTCAGCAACAAACCATCCATCAGCATCACCAAAAGTGAAATGAAAAGAAACATCACACTCACACTCACACTCACACTCACACTCTTGGAAATGAAATGCATAAAAACTATCAAGTTTGGGTATTATTGGCCCCAAATCGCTCAGCTCATTCTACTGTGTTGTGTTGTTTTTGCAATTCTCAACAGTTTGAGAAAGAAAAAGAAAGTGCCTCAAAATATCTTATATCCACTTCGCATCATTGCATTGCAATCTCATCTCCTACTACACATACGCATCACGAAAAATAATTGTAACAAAGGAATCTGAATCTTTTCTTCCTGGAAATTCAAAACAATACAAAACATGTATAAATATTAGTAACAACGCTGTTTTCTACCTATTAGAGTTTCAATGAATGCAATCATCCTCCATGCCGCAATGACCTAATTATTTTGAAATCGAAAGACAAGTAACAGTGAGAGAGAGTAATCATCCTCCCTGCCGCCATCACCAAATTCAAGAATTTCTTACAAGTAATGATCAATTTAAGGAGAACATATAAAGTTTAGGAGATGTATGTCAAACCATCGTACCATGTTGCAAATTTTGATTTTTGTCCATATAACTTTAAAAATTTATCCCTAGATGTTACCAAAAAGATGGAATATTATTAAGACCAAACCATATAATTTTCAAGCCTCTCACGCTAAACTACTTATGCATAATGCATGGTTAAATTCCGCTAATCATATATCAATCACACACCAAAATGTCCTAGCTATTCAAACATTACAACGTCCTCGACCTAACCACAATGTGAAACCATCATGGGATCTAAAACCATGATAGTTCATGTTGGTGATCTATTCAACTATCAATCATTTGAACCAAACATTTAGGAGTGAGTGGGTCCAAACCCGACCCGAATGATCCAGAAACCGGAAACCATATAATGAGATTTTGTAGATCCGGAAACAGGACCAAGAACCAGTTCTGGGTACGAGACTCGGTAAAATGGGTTTAGAACCCTGAAACTTAGAAAAACCATTTTTTTTTAAAAATACTTAGTGGTTGGATATACTTATTTCCGAAAAAATCAAAATGCATCTAGATGCAAAAAGACAAAGGTTCTAATTTTTTGTAATTCTCTTGAGCTTTTGTTTTTGTTAAATAATATTAAGATTTGCATTTTTTAGGGTTGGAAATATTGGTTATTGTAACATGTTGGAATGTTACGGCTATTGTTTGATATATTTGATATTTATTAAATTTTATTTATCAAAACCATTTTATAGATCACTAATGTTAGTAAATACAACAGTGTAATTTTTGAATGTGTAGACTCAAATGTCATTTCTTTATTGTCGTCTAACACAACACAGAATCATATATTTGTTTGGCCATAAAAGTCTAAACCATCTAGTACTTGTATGCAAGGAGAACTATCTTTTTTTTTTAAAGCAGAGAAAGGGGTTTTAAAATTCGGGTCCGGGTCCAAAACCCAGTTAATCTAATACACGATTTCAAAAACCGGTTGTAGTTCCTAAAATCAGTTACCCGGACCTAAATGACCCAAACCCGGAAAACCGGGTAAATCCATTTATCAAACCCGATACCCCGACCAGTTTTACGTATTATGGTCTAACCGGTTCAGTTTTCCGGTTAAAAATTTCATCCCCACTGTCGTTACAAGTTCTTGCTTCAAATAAATTTGGCCTATTATAAACCGCTAACAAAACAAAATATCAAAGAACGTTTTAACGATCTCGAACCATTATGACAACTTTTTTGCATCTATATTGTCTTGTGTCTGTCACACATGAGGTATAAAGTTTAATCCTTACACATCAAAACATTTTAGAGCTCCGGTTGGATAGGCCTCTCAAATGATAAAATTTACTATTTTTTTATATTTGTCATAACTTTCTATCCAAGTCAATTACAATAATAATGATCTTAATATTTTTTTATTAACAGAAGAAAATTTCGTACAAAAACAAATTATGTACTTACCACTCATAAATGTTTGTTGAGAGACATCAAGCAACGATTTGATTCTTGCTGCTTTTCCCCGTATAAAACATAAAAATTGTTGTGTATAGAGTATATGAAGCAAATTTATTTAAATCTAAGATCGAACGAGATCTAATTAACTTTAATAAAAGACTCATGCTACTTCATATCTTCCACTTTAACCCACAAATTGTTCTCATAAAAAAAGATATTATGTATAAATATGGTATAATTCATTACAAAAAAAAAGAAATAATTTATTTTCTTTAATATGTGCCATGATTATATGACCGTAAATTGCTTCAGTACTATTTTTAATTATCAATTTCATTTTTCTTTATTACCCGTGTTTTTTACGGGTTTTAACCTAGTTAAATAAATATAAAAGAGATGGATATCTTATAAAATTAGCGAGTGGATCGAAAATATGTGTGTAAATAAATAAAATATGTTTTTGAAAAGTTGAATAGTTTTTTTTTTTCAAAAAAATATAGTATATATATTTTTTAAGTCACAAATGTTTTTTTTTATTAAATTAATTATTATCGTACAACGAGTGAGATGACAAACGGGCAACAAACTGCGCCGTTAAGCCTTTTTGTATGGTAAAATAATTCTTTTAAAAACTACATCCATAAATCTAGGGGATATAACATTGCTATGCATGATCCGTTGTACTCTATTAAGAAGTTCTACTGAATCCGGCGCGAGAAAACCAAACGTGTCAAATGCAAATGGTATGAACACGGGTTGATTTTCCATGCACGATTTCTCATGTTTGGTGACTTTGCCTGTAGCAGCAAAGTCGTCAAACATGTCATTGATTTAAAAAAAGACAATTAAGTCAATTTGCAAAATTATAAAAGTGCTTTTTGTTAAACGTTATTTGGAATAGGTTTTTGATTTTTTTAATTAAAACCTAGAAGCTCATACTTTCGAACATTTTTTTTTTAACTTTTTCATAAAAGTTAAAAATTCCTGAAATGTACGTGACGAACACAATCTTAGTTAGTGTGTACCAAACCTCGAATGCCACGATTAGGTCAATAAACATTTAATGTTCAAGCCTTGCAAGCTAAACAACTTATCCATGGTTGAATTGCCTAATCACATTGGCAGATCTAAGGCTTTGGGAGTGGGGGCATATGCCCCCAATATCTAAAATTTTTTACATATAAAGTTCTCAATTATTTGAAAAAACATCATAAATGGTCCCTGTGGTTTCCCAAAATCTGAAGTATAGTACCCGTGGTTTAGAAACGTCATAGATGGTCCATGTGCTTTCAAAACTTTTGACGATTGGTCCTTATTGCTAACTCCGTTAAGTTTTGTCCGTTAACTGAAGGGCATTTTCGTCATTTTCACACCACAGGGACCATTTATGATATTTTCAATTGTTTTTTAAAAAAAAGAAAAACCTAAATATAATTATTTATATATAATCTCTTCTCTCTTCTCTCTCTCTCTCTCTCTCCGGAAAACACAATCGAAACCCACCACTACCACAAATCACCACTACTTCTGCCGGATACCACCACCATTACCAGCTCCGGTCAAATAAAAAAATTCAGAACTCATCTCCCCCGTTCTTATTTTCAGAAAAAGAAAATACCACCACCATCCATTAACACCAGTAACACCACCATCTGATGAAGATTCGAAGCAAATTCAAAACAAGTACACGTCCTCTCTCTTTTCCAGATTCATACACATCCATACAAAGATGATTTTTTTATAAAGATTCAAAACAAATACACACCCTCTCTCTTACGGATTCATACAAATACATACAATGATGGAAAATATGAAGATCTGAGGAACCAAATGAAGATTTAAACCCAGTTCAACACAAAACACATACACAAGCATCATATTTACAGTTAATCTATTTCATGAAAGATTTAACACCAAAATTGGAAACAAGTAAAAGAAATATCAAATAACACATAAACTCCATATTTCCACAATTAATCTTATGTACATCTCGGAGCTAACATTCAAAAGCCAGAAATCAGGTGAAAGAAATATCAGGATTACAAAATGGCTGAAGATCAGAGCTCACATTAAAAAAAACCCAAAAAATCCATGTATTCCACAATTAACCTTATGTTCATTCTCGATTTTCTTAAACATGAGGATCAGAGATAGCATATAAAAACCCCAAATTTAACAAGGTCTCCATAAATCGACACACACATACACTCTAAAATCGTCATCTCACCTTCAAATATCGCCTCGTCTTCTGATCTCGGTTGTGGAGACGAACTTTGAATCAAGTTTATGTTGGATTAGGTGTCTAAGCCCATAACTATAATTGGTATGTACTTGAATTGATAGCAGCACAGTCCTTTTGGGTTGCCCTCAACCTAGCAACTGGACAAGGAAATTATGAAAGGAGAGATATTAATTTATAAGATTAATAAATTAATATATATATAAATGATTTATTAATATGTTATTGGATTAATATATTAATTAGAAATCATTATGTTTAATTAATTGTTAGCCAGAAATTAATCAGAATTGATTTTGGGGTTAAAAGAATTAATTATAAGGTGCAGGGACTAGTTTGCAATTATCTAATAGTTGAGTGGAAGGCTCTAGAACCCCCTTGGAAGAGGGTGGACGAAATCTTTAGGGGAAACCCTAATAATTTCGTCCATAGGGGCTTGGATAAGGCCCTTGGGTTTGCTTAGGCCCTAAGCAAAGGATAACTAGGGTTTCCCTTAAACCCTAGATCCCTCAGCTATATAAGGAGCCTCATGGTTTATGTTTTTTGGTCACTCTTTCTTTTGAAGAAGAACCCTAAGGCCGAGATTTTGCATACTCCCCCCCCTCTCTCTTCTACTTTCCTTCTTGCTAGTGTGGTGTGTTCCATTAGAGGCATTACACTTGTGGTGCTAAAGCTTCCAAGAAGGTCAAGATCAAGACCAAGGGAATATCAATGTTTGCTATAACAATTAAAAGGTATGTAAAACCCTAAACCTAGTTTGTTAATTTCGAAATTAGCCTCTCTCCTCTAGGGTTCTTGTTTTGCAATTCAAAGTTGTATGTTCAATAGTTAAAAAATAGATCCAAAGTAGGTTGCATGTGAACTTAGGAATTGTTTCTAGTTTATTTGTTGTATATAAACCCATCAGTGGTATCAGAGCCA